TCTAACATTTGCAAGGATTGATGTTCATGGCCTCTGAAAAAGTAAGGACGTTCAGTAGAATAGATTTAGAAAATGAAAATGAAAATGAAAATGAAAATGAAATAAAAAAGCAAGGTAAAGTAAAGAACATGAAGAAAAGAAAAGGGAGAGGGGGTGAATCGGTTGAATGTTTTCATTCAAGAGCAGAACTCCAGCTCCCACATCATCATATTAAGCCTTGAACTCATTCATCCATGTAACAGAAAGAGAAGATAACATTGAATCATTGATAGATGGAGTATGTTGTGGTTTCTCTTTTCATCATCACCATTCATATTTTCTCATTCTTCGATATACACATATGCATATTATGATTACATGCACACTATTCACAGCCACACTGTGCTTTGAATCTCAAAGGAGGAAAGGGAATATAAGAACAGATAATGGTAAGAATGGAAGAAGAAAACAAGATTAAAACAGCACATGAAGCAATTTAAAAAAGAAAAAGAAAAGAGAAGAAAAGCGAAAAGAAGAATCACAATGTCGAAAGTCAACTTGGTGGAGGAAAAGGGGGCTGCGATAGATATGCTGCTCAATCAATCAAATAACCACAATTCCTCCCCCTGGCTTGACCGGTAAAGCAACCGGTTCTCCTCTCCCTATCGAAAATTCCCCATTTATCAAAACCCATCATCCCCAAAGCCCCAGCTCCTCTTATTAACATCCCGACTCATCCTCTTCCCACTAACACCCACAGACGGAGCTAGCTTCTCCTTCTCCTTCTCCTTCTCCGCCTCCTCCTCCCCAAATGTATCCCAACTCGAATCCATCATCTTCACAGCCTTCTTGCGATCAAACCCTAAAGGGGCGCCATGACTCTGTTGGGAATTCCCATTGGCATTCCCATTCCCATTCGCATTATGATCATGATGATTATTGCTATTATTCATTTTCTCCCCTTCCTTTTCCACGGAATTCGAATTCGTAAAATCATCCGCGTCAGCATCCACCATCGTCCAATGGCTATCAAAGTCCTTGCGGCGATTAACGGTATTAGCAGGAATATTAGACACGGGTCGCTGAGGTGCTTCACTAGTCCTCGCAGCAGCAGTGCCAGCAGCTTTGACGGGTGTGCCTGAGTCGTCATAGACGTTGTTTTCATACAGGCCGAGGCCCTTGTTATGTGCAGCGCCGGGAACCCTGAAGGGCGCCTTGTGCTCCTGATCCTGCTCTTGCTGCTGTTGTCCTTGTTGCTTGTTGGCGATAGGTGTACCAGATTCATCGAAGAGATTATTGTCATAGAGACCCAGGCCCTTATTATGTGCGTCGCCCCTGGGATGCATCTGCGGGTTCCGTTGGCGTGCGATAGGTGTTCCATCGTCACGGAGCTCAAAGTGAGTTTCCGCATCGCGGCGCGGTTGCGGAGCTCGACGTTGCTTGGGAGGACTATCTGCAGTATCCCCCTCATCGTCGCTCCAGCTGAAATGTCGCACGTTCTGCGCTTGGAGCTTCTGCCGCGGTTTTTCCGGAGTGACAAAGTCCTCAAAATCCCATTGGGACAGGTGTTTCTTTGCGTGGGGGCGGAGAGGGAGGTTGCTCTGTATGCTTCCCGGGTCCGCTTCTCCAAACTCGAAATGATTTTCTTGTTTTGTCTTTTCTTGATCCGATCTACTCACAGGAGGTTCAGCCTCGCCGAATTCAAAATGGCCTGGAGCCTGTGGTTTCACAGTGGATCCAGGATGAGGCGTCTCTCCAAACTCGAAATGATCGTATTTCTTTGTATTAGTCTTGACTGATGTTGTTGTATTCACTTGCTCAGATCGTTGCTCCTCCTCATCGTCCGCAAACAAACGCGAGGGTTTATACGTAGGCCCCGCCCCTCCTTTAGGGGGTACAACTTCATCTTTCCTCGCAGGGTGAGAAGATTTCTTCGTAGGCGTCGATTCAGCATCATCCCCCACAAACAAATCACCGTAATTGCGAGGAGGAGGTTTGGCAGATCCGCGCGAGGCGGCTGACACGGGTCTTTCTTCAGGTGGGGGGGAATAGGGCTGGAAGAGAGACAATGACACGTGCGGGTCCTTGGTAAATCTCTTGCTAGGGGATGTAATTGACCCGAACGACGCGTTTGATGCGGCGGTAGTAATAGACCGCTTATCAGCCAGCGACGCCGGCGACGAGATGGAAGTGGAACTTCTCGCAGCTGCGGAGACGGAGGAACTTATAAGACGGGACTGCTCAGTTGTGTATCGAATTGGCCAATTACGGCTGCTCGCGCCGATGACATCAAGCTGCTTGAGAAGCGCCCCTTGGGTCCCAGTACAGTCGAATTTGGGTAATTCTATCGTTGGCT